TGTGTATACAGTAATATTATTATTATTATTATATCAAGAGCTAAAACTAGATTTTAGTCAATCATTAAGAGGACATAACTTAGAAGATGGAATGTGTTTCATGTTCTAAATAACCACATAACCTAGTCACTTCAGTCGATTTTACAGAAACACTTCAACCAAGTATCACTTTTATTTATACAGTCCATTTCGTTAATAATTATATTCCGTGGATTACTGAAAAACCTGCGGTGAACCGATACGTGTAATATGTTTGGAAAAAAATTTAGCAAGCTTACTATATAGTCAACAATATGAGTGGAGCGGATAAACTAACTGACTGGTGTGAACGTAGAACTTTGCACAGATGTGCACCAATTCGAGTTGCCACACCCCATGTAGCATACAATGCAAGTGAAAAGAGAAAAGACAGATTCAAAAGACAGATAATAAACAGAAACACGAAGCAAAAAGAATAGTAATATGGAAGAACAATAGAATTTTAATGGATATTATAAATCACAAAGAGTGAATGCACCTGCGCCACTGAGAACGATTTTGAGCCATGTCACCAATTGTTTCCAACCATTGGTTTTTACCGTCCCGAGGACCCCAACCAGGAAATCTACACCTCCCTAGGTGGCTTAAACTAACTGTTGTGGATTTCGCTAATTGATGCCATGTTTTGGATTGACCAGATAAACTGACTACTCATGTGCTTGAATACTATTATTAACCCAGGACTTGCAAAAAAACAGATAACTTTCGTCAAACGAAACCCAAACTGCTTAGGACCTCTACCTAAATATTCACTGAAGCGGGGTAGAAGCATTTACTTTCCCAAAAATGAAACAAATTTAAGCGGACTAAGCACCCCCCTAATTAAAATAACTTATTTTAGTGTTAAAACAGAAATTCCTTATGACTACAAGCTTGCTCACTGTTTGAAACAATAATGTACCCCAATACAGTTAGATACTTCACAGTGAAACACAAACGTACGGTGTTAAACAGGAAACTCCACTTAGACATTTAAAAAATAACAGATTTCGCAAAGAAACACATTCCTTTTTAATCAATGGTTCTATACTGATATGTAGGTTTTTAAATAATACATCAAAATTATACTTTTGCCCGGAGGAATAAACACCTGACTAGATTTCGTTTGTATTGTGCAGGAATGAAACTTCGTAAGAATACTTCTCAGTTTATGTAGATTTTCAGTGTATACTTGTCATATCTACTCGTTTTGTCGGTGGGACATCCAAAAATGAGAGACATCCCGTTCTTCTTTAGTGGAGAACACTATCTGAGTTGTATACGCTGACAACCAATTCATTGAGTAACTCAGAAATATTTGTGACTTACCCAGCAGAAACGGATATCTGATGGGATTCTCAAAAAACAGAGATTTAGGAAGCACCATAACCAGGTTGCCTACATTTCGCAAAAGGCGGTATTCCTAAGATTCTAGTTCATGGGTGGCGTTACTAGTTGAATTGTATTACAACATTTTAGAAAAGCCCTTGGGAGGATATTCGATGTAGCTAAGCTATGCTGTTTATTTTCCAAAAGACCAATACTTAGTTCGTGAAATGAAGACAAACTGCCTTATTTAGACTTCACCCCGTACATTTACCAATTTAACTGCTAGTTACATTGAGTGTACGACTAGACATATTAACCATCAAGTTCCCGAACATCACGCATCATAGTTAAACAAGGGACACACTAGAGCGGTAACTAGCTCTATATTGACTCGCCTTATCGATACAGGACATCATATTGACATTAACAAGGCGTTTTTATCTTATTTTATCTAACCACCGTCATTTGATAGGAGTGTGGTTTTTACATACGGTACAGGTGACTGGAACTCATCTGAATAAGCCAAGTCTGTCTTTACAACAAATTCGTACAGCTTCTTTTATTACCATGCCTGTCTACTTAATAAGACTGTGATATTATAAACGACTTTTGCCTATCATTGTACCTGTTGACATTATTATCATGCTACTTATTCTGTCATTACTATCTTAGCTAATTCACTTGACGTCTTCATAATTATTTAATTTTTAATATATTCGTTCACCTAATTATTGCTATTCCAGAAGCTATCAACTATCATATTTTGTTGCTGAACTCTACAAATTCTATTGGATCGTCTTATCATTTAACTATTATGTCGATTTCCGTAAATATTTTTACGTCTTGTATACCTCGAAATGGACGTTTTTATTGACTAACACAATTTGAGTTGTGCAGTCTTCATGTATTTATAAAAACCATATTAATGTCGAGCCGTTGGTAAGGTAATAATCGAAAAGAGACATACTTATTGGTTTAATTTGTTGTATTAAACAGAAAAGTTGTTCGCAATAATTCGCTTTCCATCTTTTTCAACATTTCAATATTTTGTTTGGTGCATGGCTCTGTTGGCATATATTTTATGCATATAGCCTTCATGTAATATACTTCCGTGTATTCAATCAAATAAGAATTATTAGTGATAATAGTGTGGTGTTCTTCGGGGTTTTGAGATTTAAGTGGATGTTACATAAGCAAGTCAAGTGATTTATTTCACAGCGAAGTAGCATTTGCAGTAACATAAAGACATAGCTGAAAGTTTGTTCTATGATCACACACATGACTGGAAAGTCTTAGACAAAAGAATGACTTCTGATTCTGACTAAGTGAACTACTGCAAATGACAACTTCAACAGAGAAAAAGTCGGTTTTCAAAAACACGGAATGTCATGGCCTATAATCAGATTTAGCCACACAACTGCGTTTATCGCGTATAAGTTTCGCAAGAGATCTGAAATATTGTGTAAGTTCAGTGCTATTTATATTGCATATATGGTACTCGGAAACTGTAGCACTTGAGTCATAAGAATCAGTACTACTGCTTTAGCAACCAAACATTTTTGTTTGAATCTATTCTTTTCCGAAAATAGGAAAACCAAAGGTCAAAATGGCTTACCCGACATTCAATTTATGCCTACATTATGGACTGCCAGAAAACTACTTATGAGAATCAACAGTAATAATTGAATTAGTAGGTAAAGACAGTCACACACAACGATATTTCAAAATAAAAATACAAACATTAACGCATACTTCAAAACCTATATGAAAATTAGTTGATCTTGCAGCTCAATTCCTAGATTACCTAGTCATTAACCCAGGCTGGTTTGTTGACACCCCATCTGAGTGAGGTTTCTACCTTTAATGATTAATGAACTACCAATAATTTCACTAGGCAAACATTATTTATACAGAAAAATATTTACTTGAAGTGACATTTTCTCATCATCACGAAATCCCATTTCAATTAGACGTTGACGTCGATAGGTTTCATAGTGGACACCGTGAGTACGTTCACGTAAATCTTCCATATTCACACGTAACAGCATCTCTCGAAGTCGAACAAAATCACAATGGTTTTCATTTTCCACTTGAACTGCACCCCATGGATATTGTCGTACACGTACTGTCTTGCCATTGATTTTAGTCTCTTCTGAGCTACCCACGACAGCAAATGGGATATGTTGCTTCAAGTAAACGAAGAAAATAACATGCAGCAGACGATTATTACAGCGAATTTACTTACGATGAACATTTAACGAGCAGGTTTTACTTATTACATATACGTGTGACTGCGATAGTTGAGATAGGTGGCTTTCGATTTACCGAAGAGTGGTTGAACTTTGATTGGACACTAGCAACTAGTATGATGTGTCTCATCCTTTCTTTGGTGTAGACTGAATTCTATCAGTCAGGTTTGCAATGTGGCCACCATTCTAGGCTGCTCGCCATCACAGTGCACATTGATCTGATGATATTAGATGGAGGTAATCGGCAGGAAGCCTCGGACCTAGGTTTCGTGCTAGTTGGTTGACCTTATTACTATGAACACGGATAACTTTACTCCACTCTACGTTTGGACGTAATTATTTGTGATAAAATACGAGGGTTTATATGGAATATAACATGACCTTACAAGATACTAGTTGAACCGCGTTACTCCTTCTTTCTTCCAAACTGTCTAGTCTGTCAAACGCCATATCGCTTTATTCTATAAACAGGGTACGATTTAAGACTTAATGGTATAGATTTAACAGCTCGTGTTTCATCTCCCTGTGTCTTCTGAGAATGTATCCAACCAAGTTGTTATGTGGTTAACTAGAAAATAACTTAAATTCCATTAGCAGAAATTGTCAGGGTCGAATATTATAGATGTACACATCAATTACTTTCAGATACACACTTTTATGTTGCAGTCAATTATTATGCTATGTGTATTTGAATTGTAATAAACGTTAACTGGGTACCATTTCACTACTAGCATTCCACTGGACTCAATTATATCCGTATATAATGTTAAGTACTTCAGACAAGTGTATTTATGCCTTAAACACTTATGGTATTTATGAGTTTATAACCACACAGTTTGGAAAGATATTTGAATACTCCTTATTCTACGTAAAGGGGTTGTAGTGTGTCTAAGTGAGCAGTTCGAACAAAGGTATCAAATTGGTAAGAAATAGAAATGTGACTTCTTAGTAAATGAATATCTGTGGAGAATAAGTGACAACAACGGTTGTAGTAAAACAAAACTAAAACATGCCATCTTTAAGTGACTGACACTCAATGAATATTTTCATTACTATGATATCAAACATCAGCACAAAATTAAGACTGGTTTTTTTCCTTTAACGCATTCAAAGATTTAATATTATTTTGTATGGGACAACCAGGAGATAATGACTTGTACACATACGAGTATGCAAGCTACTTGTAATTTTGGTAATATTAAATGGAAATGATTCAGACTTATAAACTAAACTATCAAACAAAAGGTCTTGGATTCAAATATTACCTATTCTACCTCACGTAATACAAATTTCGAGTGTAACTCATTGTCTGATAAACAAACATATTAATTTCCCGAGTTATATTCCTTAAATAAAACTGAAAACTCAGTAGAGAAAAGAGTCAAACTAATCACAGAAGCTTACATTCATAAGGCTGTTAGTTTCACTAACAGCTTCATCATCAGTAGGAAATTGGTAAATACCAATTTCGTTGGATTGTATCTCGCTGAGAATCTAAAATTAGTTGATTAATCAAAACCTTTATCAACTCTAAAGACAACATACTCTTGCTTTGAACTTTTGTAGTTCAGACTTTGTAATGGTATCGGATTTTCCAATGATGGGGATAACATTAACTTTATTTTCCAGTTTTTTCATTGCAACCAAGTCGATGGACTTTAAACTACATAAAAGAGAAAAACACTAGTTTAGCAAAGGTATTTACTAAACAGACAACAGGATAGAGCACAAAACAATACAGAAAATGAATGAAATACCTTACTATGAAATGTGGCACTTTTATGAAAAATACTACACTTACCTAATCCACAACCTTACTTAGGTAAGTCATAACTATTTTATAACAGTGAAATGGTAAAATAACTCAGTCATAAACGCTCGATTAAATGTTTGTGCCGTACTAAGTGAAATCAAATAGTATACAATAGCGTGGATATATCAATTGTGAACACCAATCCTTAACTGTCCTTTCCTTCACTCGTATTTATTCATCAGTGTTACCACCTTGAAGTCCACAAATTTTTATCCTCTCTAACATATTTTACTCAGTTTTCTCAGACCGCATTCAAAGTTATTTTTCGAGAATACCTTAATCACTGATGACTAAGTACCAAAAATGACCTCCGCACAGAATTGCAGCAGTTTAAGTTACCACACTCCATACATACAGGTAGAGAAAAAGATTCAAACGGAATATGAAAGAGAAACAATAGTAAAATGAAAAGACATGAGGGTTTAAGGGAACTGAGAGATCACAAATGGTGAGTCACTGTGAACGCTTTCGAGTCATATTAGAAAGACTCCAGCTTTTGGATTTAAGCATCCCAAGGACCTCAACCAGGCAGTCTAAACTTTCGGGGTGGTTCAGACCGACAGTCAAAGACTACATGGACTAATGACAGGTCTTAGTTTGACCTCCTCTAACTCTTTCCCAATCCAACCCTATGTCACCCAATATGGCTCGACGATGAAGGCGGTGGCCTGGCTTGTGCAACACATATCTTAACCATCCCAATCGATTTACCTTTACGACCTCATACACTGACTCACTCACGTGAACTAGTGATGAAACGTTTAGTACAGCCAATATAGTAAATCTGACAATCCAGTGACACGGTTAAGGCATATCATATGAAAAACAGTGAAACAATTCTATTTCCTTAATTCTATGTAATAACTTTACAAATAATACAAATGGACACTGGTAACGTACCTGTGTCCTGTAGGTGCAATAAAATAAAGGCATACATGGACCCTGGTATCATGAAATGTGTGCATAGATCTTTTCATTTTTAGCTCTTCCTGGAGATAGTTTTCGAACTGATTATCAATGTAGTCCACAATAGGTTTTATGCTAAAAATTGTTAGATGAATGTGGGGCATTACTTGTTATCCTGATTAATCTGGTCACCATATCCGCAAGTTTCTACCACTGTTAATTTCAGCTTAACATTGGCTTCTTTGAGGTCTGGAAAAAAAATATATGTGAAACATAGCAATACCATAAGTAACAGCCTTTAGTTTTGGATCTGTCAGATCATGTGGTGAGGGGTTGAAATCGAACTTTTGATTAAACAGCGTTTCTAGCAAAGTGGACTTTCCGATACCAGTTTCTCCTTCGGAGAGTCAGTTACAAGAAGATGAACATACCAACGCACAGTACATTGAAGACGAACCCTTGGCTAATAGCCTTATTAACTAGCTGGTCTGGAAGACTGTCAAAACCGACATGCCCCGTTAATTTCAAAGTACGCACATCGGGAGGCTAAAATACAATAACCATAGAACAAATTTGACGAACCAAAGATTTCAGGACATCAGCGGTCATTTTTTGAAAATGAGCTGTCTAGGTCATCCAACGTCCAACGTAAATCCAGACAGCTTGGAAAATAATTTATCGTCATAGGAGCGCGAAACACTTCTAGATGTTCACTTGGCTCAAATACATTACATTTAACCAATTAAATGCCGGCTTCTTTTGCGGGAAGTTTATGACTTCTTTCAGGAGTGGTAGTTTTCGCGTCCCCAAAAATTCGTCCTAACAGCTTGAAAATAACCAGTATGGGTATATAGTCGGTGAACAGGGAAATTTAATAAAATGCATGACGTCAAACAAAAAAAATTTTGGCCGAATATTTTTTAAGAAAATGGAAAATCAAAAAGGAAAAATAGTGGTAAATAAAGGGTGAGTAGGGGGAGTATAATTGCTTTATCAGTAAAGTTCATCTTGCTGGAACGTTTCTGAGGTGGATGCTTGTGGTTCAAGAGATTTACTTAATTGCATGACTTCGTTTGATGTTTGGTGTACGCGGACATGCCTTGCATGCACACACTGCCAGCTCCTTGTTCCAACCCACCTTCTTTTGGCCGGTAGGTTGGATGCCCAAATAATGGAGGAAAAATACTGATCCTACGTTTAGTCAAGAATTTATTGACCTAGACGTAAATGGTAAATTATAGGTATATACAATGGCCACACATTTCAGTCAGTACTCTTCTGGTTTTTTAATTGCAAACTGGCTTGAAAAGTTTTAGCTGAAATTGAGGGTTACAGGCAGAAAAACTGATCGATAAATCGTGGGAAACTTGAATGCTATATGGATGTCTTGAGCGCCTTTCAAGCCTTTTCCGCTTTCCAAAATCCTGAGTCATTTCGGGTTGTCAGAAGAGGGGAGGATAAGAGCTCTGGGTCTTCTATCAAATTTATGACAGTGACTGTGCAAAGTAAGTCCCAGTAATGCACCTTGCAGTATTCCGGAAGTGATATCTTCCATTTTCAGCACGAGCAACTTGCCGTCGTGAGTTTTTCCAGCACCCATCAGTCCAAGATAGTAACTGGTTCTCAGTTCCCACTTCAAATAGCTTCTTCTTTTATTCCTTTACGTTCACAGTGGAGCATAAAGCTTCAAGCTAGAGCTTTGAAGTTTCGGTAGCTGTGGTATTTATTTCTATGGGATAGGGTTGCTAGCCTCATGCCCAACCTTCCTTATTACTGGCTTAGTAAGGTAAAGGAATGCATCGGCAGGGGATTGAACCTCGAACCACTTGCGTGGTTGGCGAGCAATCAACCTCTGTGTCACCAACACACTTTCAAATAGCTTACAGAAGTAAATCTAGTGCAAAAAGCAGATAAAAATGTAGAGGTCGTAGGCGAACTGTCATTTTTTGGCCTCAAAAGATTTCCCAGTGAGAGGCACTAACTGATCTTAACGAAACAATTTTGGTCTTGGAGAATGATGTCTTTACTTCTCAAACTTTGCCTAAGCGTGTCATCGCCTTCTGGACTGTTGGTATCAGCACTACAGGCATATTAAAACTGGAGTTCATTTGCACCTACCGCTCACAAAGTTACGGAACAGCATGCATTCAGTTCTTCGGGCTCAGTCTCCTGTCTAACGAGAACCAGCAGATAATCAAAAATGGAGTTGAGACTGTGTCAGTGCGCTGTTTTGGGCCTGCGATCTTATGTTTTCATATCCTAGTAGTTATTTCGGAAGAAGCCTCAGCATCTTCTCATGAATAAGTATCTATTATTTACTATGAAACTCAACATGGTCAGTTACTCATACTGTTTTGGTGACTGTAAGCTTACTTCCTTGTTGGCCCCAAATGTCACTGTCATAGTGACAGAACCACTGACAGCTTGCCTCGTGTGTCTCTTTACGAATCCTCAAATGTTTGTCCAGTTTTCGTGGGTTAAACGCAAGCCGTGAAGCCGGTGGTATATTTATCATCCACAGAGAGTATTTTTTACCACAAAAGCGATTCAGAAGGAATTTATCCCAAATAACCAACACAAAAACTACTGAAGATCATTGCTTCCAAGCAGTAGCCAAATTTACGCATTGTTCAGGGTCGAACAATAGTTCGATATAATTGCCCCTTGAAGTTTTGATGTCTGGGTTGCTATGCATTTCGAGTTTTGATACAACATGTATTTCTGACCGGGTAAAGCATGTTTCCAACCAAAACGCCCTAGTGTAGGAATACCATTTTGTAGAAACAGTAATAAAATTTGATCACATTTCTCGTTCGGATCTACTGGTGTCACTTCAGATATCTGTTTTTTCTACTTCCTCTAATATGTTGGAGATTGATAGATCCGCGTCATTCAGTTCATGGCCATTTCTCTTTAACCTGGTGGTTGCCCAATGCAAGCTAGTTAAGAAATCATGCTCGCACTACTGTCTTGGTCCTGAAATATACTTCGTATTTTTGACGATAAATTTGGTGTTTTGTTTTGTCTTTGGTCTACGCGGAACGAATACTATAGAAGTTTTGGATAAAAGAACTCGCGTTGGTATGTATAGTACTTCGCACAAACTGCAACGCTGCCTCATATCCTGAAGTGAAAAGACAGTATATCCAGATTTAAGATCATGGAGGGTTTCTACGTCGACTGACTATATGATTCGTGAATTCATTGACCATTGAAATTCAAAGGTTTTTCGGCGTCTTGCATATTTTAAAGTGTTGAGGTCAATTTCTGTTACTGGGTGCTACTACAAAGCTTATTTTAAGTCTGGAGTTCACAGTTATAAAGTTGATAGTTTACGATTATGGTATGCCTGCTGTTATTGAGCTAATTCGCGTATACTAGGCTAAGATAGTAAGCTGTTTGATGATATTGGATAGTTGGAAGCAATCGGCAGGAAGCCTTGGACCTAGGTTTCGTGCTAGTTGGCACTCATCAGCAAGGCGTATCTATGTCCTTGAAGGAACTCATGTCCCTTCTGAGATTCGAACCCGCGTCACCCAGTACTGCAGTCAGAGACGTTACCACTGAGCTATTCGGACTCGCGATTGACCTCCTGTAGGACTGTAGTGGGTATTTTCATTGGACACTAGTAACTAGTTTGACGTGTGCTATTCATAGCACAAAATGAGTGCAGCCTCTTGAGCTAATTCTGCACTAACTTTAGTAAACTCTGAAACTATTCCAAGATTGCTTGATTATTTGCACAAACTGAGACTGTGTGCTGGCTTATCAGCATGACTGACACTAATTCAGCACCCTGTTCTTTTTCTACGCATTTTCAAAAGTTGCTCATCAGCCTAATTTCAGCCTTCTTATCCCAGATTCAGCGTCCAGTACTCCTTTTTAAGAACTACCAGGGTTATTTCAGTACATACTGAGTTCATTTCAAGTAGATAAAGCATTCATTTACCGTAAAAAGGCATTTCTGACGCGTAGGTTATATTTTGTTTAGAATTGTTGTAATGTTGGGCCTTTATGCGTTGCTACGGTATAATTGATGGATCCTATTAGTCACCCTTACTCGGCATATGCTATGAACCAGTAATCTTCGGCTGATAAAATGTAGTAAATAATGCTCAGATCGGTGTAATCTCTCACTAACCTCCAAAGCGCTTTCATTACAAAACAAACAGCCAAAGTCTGCTTTAGACCGTCACTCTTAAGCGCGTAAAGGGAAAGGAAGTGTAACAGCAGTTTCGACATACATGTTTATATAATGAATACAAATGGAAACAATAGGGTATTACAAACATTTTCACAAAATAAGCGATTAACAGGGGTACGTGGTAATCTTAAAGTTGTTTGTGGTTCATTTACTAGCAAATTGTCCAACCTCCTGGTGAACTCTTTTATTTCCAGGCAGTGCAGCATCGGGATTTCTTTGGTTCAGGCTGATGAGATATCTTAACCGTTCATAAACACATTGTTTGGTTGTGGTGTTAAGCGGGCTGCTCGCGGAATGTTGTCCGTTGTGTTATACCGACGTGTACACCTCTAGCTATTTCTCAGAATATCTAAGAGTAACATTTAAGGAAAGGGAAAATATCACAGTTTGGATATGAATTCAAGAAAGCCTCAACGACATGCGCACATGGCAAACTGCATGTACAGTATGTCCTAAATGCGCATTTAGCCTCATTCCTTTTTACGAAGAAGATGTGACTGCCTTACGCGTAATCAACTGAGATGGATGTTATTGAATGGAAGAAGAAAAAGTGCCTTTGCAAGTCTGAAACAACTTTCTAGGCAGCAAAGGGTGTGAGAAGCCGTAATACAGACTGCAGAGAAGTATGCATCTAGGAGAAGTCCCAAATTGTGTTGAAAATTACATCGTAATTGTAATATTTACAAAGCACCCACTGGCCCTCACATAATTTACGTATGGTTGTGTGGCCAGTCCACCTCCGTTTTTGGTAATTCCTGGAACTTTGGCAATACATTCTGAATTGTTAACCTACCTGTCATAACTGCGCATGTGCTCCATTCTATACAATTATTTTTCTAACACACTGATTTAGCAACTGTTTTCGTTACGTTATTTATTAAGAATGAAACTTGCTTTCCTTCTGAATGTCTGACATACATGGAAAAGACACAAAACAATGCTGCATCTAGGGAATTCCTCCTTAAGAGCATTCATCCGTGCAGGTGCACAGCCGGCAATGAAGGTTACTGCTTTCGATGTTTCACTAATAAATCTCTTAAACGTTTGAAATATCTCCTTGATATCTGCAAAACTTTCCCTCCTAGTAAGGGAAAACAGAACAGTCTTTTCTCTTCCAAATCCATCAGTCACAACAAACTGATATAAAGGCCATCTGTAATAAATTTGGAGAACAAATTATATCCTCATGTACTGCAACTTACCCCATCTTATTCGTTTTATAGTACAGTCAATTGCAATTACTTGTGGAAACTTACGATAGAGGCCCATCATATCACTATGAGCGAAAATGATATTCGATATGAAACCTGCATTGTCATACAGAACACTAACTGGTTCTGCCTGCCTCAGTTGATAAAGGAGGTCTTGTAAACTGTCGATTTCTATTCTACTACCACATCTATTT